TAACTCCATTCCTAGATGTTTGTATGCTCAATTAGTGTTCACTCCAGCACTGCCTGAATTAGTCCTGCACTTTTTGTAGCAAGGTTTTCAGAAATGGCTTGCAAGGGCTGAGAGATTGATTGGCCCAAAGTTACTCAGCTGGCTTCATACCTAAGATGAGATTAAAACTCAGAGTCTTCTAGTTTCTCACCTGATGCCTTAATCATTATATTAAACTGACACACACACACCCCGCCCAGATGATTAGAAATGTATTTTACATTTCTTAAAATCTGGATCTATCATTTTTCCAAAATCAGATATTCCAATTTCTCATTTCCCCATATATATTTGCAATGTTAAGCTCTATTCCTTTCAGTTTTGTGTAAAATGGGATTGATTTTATTTCAAATAACTTACCAGTCTTCTTTGCTAAATACTTCATATACACAGTACCCAATACATATTTTCTCTTAAGCAAAAGTCAGATTTGGCCCAACCAAAAATGAGGCTATTTTGGGAGACTGGAGGCAGAACTTCAGAAGAAAATAAGTAAGGTGCAGAAGAGAAAGAGCTTACCAACATTTTCCTGAAGTGGAATTTTGAGGAAAATAGGTATTTCCAAATAACTGAATCAAAAAGGGCATCTGATTTAGGGATAGCCTATTCTAGAGGAACAGGAAAGGGACATATCTGCACTAATTTTAATATTTATTTTATATCTCTGTATGACTTATGTTAGTGTATTTTTCTATCAATCTGAACATAGCATATCAATTGCGTCTTCCGGAGTGCTGAAATGCTTACACTTACTTTTATGTGCTCAATTGTATCTTGTTCATTGTTGCACTCCCAGAAAAAGCCAAGCATGAGAATTCGGGAAGTTGAAGTCCAAGCATCTTAAACTGGCCAAGTGTGAAAAACATTCATTGAAATACACGAAATGCCCCATCCTTTCAGAGCCATTGCCTGCCCCATCAGAAGAGCACTCGTGATTGCTCCTGGTTCTTCTTGTTTATGTGAAAGCAAATGCCTTGTTATGCATGTAGTTCACCTACTCAAACACCAAAACAGGTAATAAAAGTCATTTTTCCCCATCTCACCTTTTCTGCACCTTGATCCTCCCGCAGACGGGGCCCCCACCAACAGCGAACGCCCTGCCTCCCATCAACCAAAATGGACGACGCCTTCCTCGCCCCCTCTCCTACCTTCCTGGCTTCGGATAGGGGAATAGACAGCTTTTGCTCCGCCTCCGTTCCTCGATTCTGACCAGTCAGAATCGGAGGGCCGGACGCTAATGTGTTTCGTCGTGGGCCTCCTGCCGCCTTCTTTTTCAGCAAAGAGCGTAACTTACGCTTTTTGTGCAAGATGATCCCGAGGTAGATTTGAAAGAGTTGGAGTGTGAATTAGCTGATCAGTCGGAGTATTTTTTTTTTTTTTTTGTGCAAAGGCTTTTTGCAAAATTCTGCGACATGGGCTGGGTTAGCACCCACGCTAGGCTAAATTATCTCCTATGTTCAGTAGACTATTTATTGCGAGGATATAGCATTAGATAAGCTTTTCTGGGCCTTTGCTACGGTGAGTTATTGTGGCAAATAAAAGTGAATGTCTGTTTTCATACCTCTTAAGTGAGATTGGCTGATCATCACTCAACTTTATGTTAATTATGATTTAGGGTTTACTGTGTTGGGCAATTATACACAATATTTACAGTCAATAACCCACGTTTTTTTATTATTATTATTATTTAGAGCAGACTTTCTCAACCTTAGGAACTTTAAGGCATGTAGACTTCAATTTCCCGAATTCACCAGCTACCATGGTTGGCTGGGGAATTTTGGCACTTGAAGTCCACGTGCCTTAAAGTTCCCAAGGTTGGGAACACTAATTTAGAAAATTTATAGGGCAGCACATCAACTCTTTCAGTGACTCTAGGCTGCTTACAAAAAAATAATTAAAATGGTCTTGAAAGCTTAAAGATTCAACATGTGATCTCAGTCAGATTTAGTCTGTGAGCAGTTTGGACATGGTTGTTACAGTGCTTACATTGGATTTCTCCATATGGGGGACTAAGGACTAGCCTGAGACTCTTGAACTAAAAAAGTAATGGCAATCCACTCCCATAATACTGTGAGGAAAATCAAATAGATACGTCTCTGAGTTCACCAGAGATTTTACTTAAATAAATGTCTTCATGTGACATGTAAAGCTGTCTCTTGATGTTTAAAATGGGGATTCCTGCCTCAGCCATGCTAATCATAGTGCTTGTTGACTTAGGTGGGTGAACTAGGATTTGATAAACTGCAGAAGACTTAAGATGGCTTCACTTCTCATGCTGCTTTCATCTAGTACAGTGGTTCTCAAACTTTCTAATGCCGTGACCCCATAATACAGTTCCCCATGTTGTGGTGACCCCCAAGTGGGTGTGGCCACCAATAAGAGGGAGTAGGACAGCTAGGGAAAAGGGAAAAAATGGCGGACAGCGTGGTTTGGCGACCCCCATGAAATGGTTGTTTGACCCCAAATGGGGTCCCGACCCACAGGTTGAGAACCACTGATCTAGTAAGTGAATGGAGATTTGTATTTGCTAGTTTATATTTGCTCACTGTATGCTACAGTGATTCAGGTGCTTGGAAAAATTAGCAAACCCAGTTTTACATTTCCAGGCGGCAATAGAGTCAACATCACATAGGCTTGTGTGTGTTCCTGTGTGAAGGGATACAGTGATAAATATGCATATTTAAATCCACACTGAAGGAGATGTGACTGTGCTTGGGAGAAAACTGAGCTTCAGTTGGGCTTGTAACACTATTGGTTCATTATCTTGACTAAAAAGCACAACATGAAAGCCTCAATTAACAAATGCCATGGTGGGTGTTATAAGACAATATTCAAGGCCCCTTCTGTTCACAAGGAATATGGAAGACTGAGACAGTGTAAAGTATAAAGTGCATGAATTAACATGCAAGATGCATGAAGAGAGAGAGAAAAAATGTGGTAAAGCTAGTGAAGATGTGATCTCGTGAAATTGCTGAATACACACATTTAGAGGAGAAGATGTGGAATAATTGAATAAAATAGTTAAAGTTTATGTCAGACAATATAAGCTGATGGCATCTAGTATGTTAAAAATATTTAGGAGGAATTCGTAAATTAGTGATAATTGCATGCCATGCTTCAGCAAATGGTGTTAATGAAAGAACCACTGATGAGTTTGGGGAAAATTTGCAATGTTGTGAATGAATAATATGAAAAAAGGCTGTTCTGTTTGTGACATGAAAAAGAAAGTGAGAAGATGGGGGAGGGGAAATAGTTTAGACTGAATGAGAATGATGACTGCTTGATAGACATCAGCTTAAAAAAAAGGCCTACTTTTTCCAGAAACATGATCAAAACATGCCTATTTACACAGATACGTATAATTTAAATAATAGTCTAAAATGATTGTTACTTACAATGAAATATTAAGATAATTAGCAAAAATATTTTTGGAGTTGCACTGTAAGTCTGCTTTACAGCTCTCTTGAAATTTTGTTTTGATGTGATATGGTGAGCGCCTTGAGTTTTTTAGCAGCTCTTTTACTGTAGAAACAAGGAATCAGAATTACCTTTCTGAGATCAAAATGTTATCCCTTCCTTTCATATTTACACATGCTTGTACCACTCATTTACCTAATTAACTGGATGCATTCCCTGTGCATATTGCAGGCCACTTATGGTGTTGTTACATTTATCAATGGTCGCAAATGCCTTCTGAAATGCAGCATTGTAATTCCAGAAATTAATCCAACAAAACTAAAAGATATTAGGGAAAGCAACTAATTATTTTAACAATACATATGCTTTGTAGAAATCCTGGTTTCAAGTTTGCATCCACAAACAGGGATCATTTCAATCATTTCTGTTTCTGAATAATGTCAAATTTGACTGCTTGGTGGTTCAATTGTCCAAAACAGCAACCTATGTTCCCATGATAGCATGTCTCCCTAACATATTTCCAGTAAAATCATGCTTCTTGATAGACTGACTGGATTGCATTTTTAACTTTAAAAAAGTTTTCAGCAGAAAGGGAAGATAATTGAAGCAATTATCTGGGAGGAGGAGGATGGATGTGTTCAAATAAAGTTAAACCCCAAAGCAGACAACCTCTTTATACATTTAAGTGATAAAAGAAAAATAACTCCGCTTAAAGCAGTGGTTCTCAACCTGTGGGTCGGGACCCCATTTGGGGTCGAATGACCATTTCACGGGGGTCGCCAAACAACGCAGTCCGCCATTTTTTTCCCCTTTTCCTTAGCTGTGCTACTCCCTTTTATTCTATTGGCTTTTGAAAGCCAATAGAATAGACTCTCTTGATTAGAGTCTAATTTTATTGGCTTTCAAAAGCCAATAGAATTGTCCAGGCTGTCTTTGCCCTGCTGAGCCCGCCAAAAGTCCCATTCTGCAAACGGTGCTGCAAGTTGTCTACAGCAAAGGCGAGCTGTCTGGAAGCTTCCATCCCTCCCTGCTGAGCAACTACTAAAAATGTAAATAAAAGAGGGCCGGGGGTGGGAGGTAGGAGGCCGGCAGGCGCAGGGAGGGTTGCTGGCACGCGTGGGGCCCGGCAGGTGCCTTACTTCCCTTGGGCTGGGCCAGCTGGTGGCTCAGCCGGTGGTCGGCCTGTGCCATCTCTGCTGCTTGCCAGCTACGCCTCGGCCGGTGCAGGGGGAGGTACCACACATGCGCGGCACTCCCGGGCAGGGAAAGTCCTCAACTTACGACCTGTTGGGTAGTCCTCAACTTATGACCAGTTGGGTAGTCCTTGATTTACAACCGGTTGGGGGTCGCGGCATTAAAAAGGTTGAGAACCACTGGCTTAAAGGGATATGGCTTACACACCTTGCTTATGGGTTAATAGTTGGTGTTATCAACCACTATATATTTCTCCTTTCTCCCTTCTGTAAGCACTTCTTAAAACCAAATTCAAGACAAGGTCTTGTTTTCTGGATTTCCTCAGGAAAAAAAAATCCGCAAAGCACACAAAGGTTTAAGTTTTGCATTTTTAAAAAAGAGAAGTTTACAAGGCACATTCTCCAACAGCATTGCAATACTGACAGCCAAGATTTAGGTCTTTGAATACGTGTTTTCAACAGCTATAATTATTTTTCCTTTTGTACTATAGTAAGTAAGTGTGGGGAATACATACTTGATGTCATGCTCACATGATTCCACAATCTCATTATTTTCCAAATCCTTGAAGGAATAACAAAAAATGAAAGACAACTCCCTAAAAACAGAGTAGAGCATTTAAGAACACTATTTCTCATCTCTCCCTTAAATGTCACAGCAACACTGTTAGCAGTAGTACTGCAAAGTTAATTTTTCTTAGAAATTATTCAAAGCAACTTTCTGCTGCAACATAGAAGGGCAGAGACATAAACTTGTACAGAAATAAATAACTGTAATATTAAAGAAAATTACATACATTTCAAAAATCAATGCATTTCAGATTTTAGTCCCTTTTAAGATAATTTTAATCAAACCCCACAGATTACAACAGGTTCTGTGAAGTGATTTGGATTACACCAAGACTGATAGGCTTCTGTCTGAGAAGGCTGTCCTCTTCTCTGGAGTGCACAGCTTTAGGAGGCATGCACATGGCACGGTGAAGGATGAAGGGGACACTGCCTAGTCAGGAATTCTGGGAGTTGAAGTCCATGAATCATAAAAGATCCGAGGTTGCCTACCCCTGGTCTAGGCAATCAGATCAGGCAAATCAGCCCAGGGGTTGATCAATGGGGTCAGAGATGTCACAGCTGGATTGCACTCACATCCAGCTGATTTGGAGTGGGGTTTTTTGTGGCAGCAGGCAGGGATAGCTGAAGGGAGCTGGCATCACAACTATGAGACCAAAGCCCTACCCTTTTTTACATGCACTCAGGGCTTTTTTTCTCATAGAACGCCCAGAACAGAGTTCCGGCACCTTTTTTGGATGGAACCTTGTAGGGTAGGCAAGGCGGGTTGTATGATGTGTGTGAGTTCCGGCACCTTTTTTTTTTTAGAAAAAAAGCACTGCATGCACTAATGCACATATAAAAAAAGGACAGGGCTTTGAATGCATGGTTGTTGGCACCATCTTGACTTTTTCAGCCTCTGGTATGGACATCCCTGGCAGGAGATCTCCAAGCTCAATTAAATGTAAAATAAAACAATTACATTTTCAAATTCTTATGTTCAAGTAGCTTTGACTTGCACAAAAAAGGCAGCATTGATTAGCTTCCCTTAAAAATGCTATACAACAAGATAATGATAAAATATTCTCAAAGTATTTTTTTCCCCTCTGGCTACTTAGTTAAGTATTTTATAATATTAAAGTCAGGAAAAAAATAATTTTGGGATAAAATACTTTTTCATTTTCAGGGCATACACTTAACTCTTTTTAATTCAAGATCAGGAATAATGCAGAGAAAAAAACAGAAAACAAAGTTTAAAAATAAAAAAGGTGTAAAGAGCAAAGTTGTACTAAAATATAATAAAAAACTTTTATTTTATGAAAGTAAACCAACTTACATTATTAGCTTGATCAATAGTTTAATTTAGACTTCATTTTGTAGAAATATTTTAACCAGATAATTGCCACATTCGGATGTCAAGCCGGAAATCCAAATTTAATTTAAAAATACAACAAAAATGAATATGTAAATATGTTTTCCTTGCTCCACCAATCAAATGGATGAAGAAATAAGGAAGAAACAAAATTTAACTGTAGCTACCAAAATATATCAATATCCATAAACTAAATCTGATCTTTTATTTTGGCTTAGAAGAGCAAATGGGCGGAATACTCTTATTAAGCCACAATGAATAATTTGTCCTGGTAATGACTAGGACAGAATTATGGAATGCCAATAATTACACAAAAATATAAGCACCTAACAGAAAAATCCCACAAATTGGCAAGTACTTGAAGCTAAACTTCTAGAATATGAATTTTCAACCTTTTCTTATTAAAGGGCTACATTTTATGTTGATTCATTACCTTTTTAGATAGAATATAAGAGTGCCTAAAATATATGATTTACAGAACTGAAAGGAAATCTTTCTTATTTAATTCAACTTATTTAGAATACTATTATTGACTGGGTACCTAAACCAAACCTTTCACCAAACATAAGAGTATAATAATGCTCTACCAAAAATAATAATAGAAAAGACAGCCCCAATTAGGGAATTGCTCTCCGCCAACAGCTTAGTCTGCACAGCCTTATTCCTCAGTCTGTCTCTTATCATTGTCAGCCACTTGTTTCCCTACTTTTTCCGTTATAACAAATACCAGGAATATAATGGGATTTCCAAACAGTGAAAATGGCAGAACATTCCCTATCCAACCCACTTCCAAACCCAAATATATGTATATAACTGGAGAATAACATCCAGCAAATTCTCTTTTCCCTTTTTTTTGTACTTGCCAACATAAATAAATATAACTGAAAAAGTAATTGCTATGAAACTGAAACCAAATTGATGTTAAAAATGAGGTTATTAAAGTTGAAAAGCTGGAAAGATGCCTTTTAATTCTTGGAAGACAGTTGTATCTTCTATAGTTCTGGAGCATCTCTCTCTCTCTCTTGTTGTACCATTTAATCTGCAGTAGTCATGCAGGATACACTAAGCAATTTGCATGTAGTCAGTGATAATGCCTTTGTGTGCATCTGCAATTTATATGCAATAGAAAAAAGGTTTGTTGATAACCTTAGCCTTTTTAAAAATTCTGCAAAGTCCATCTTCAAAGGATAAGCTGCAAATTTCTCAGGATTGGAAAGATATTATAGAATTGATTTTATATACCAAGTAAGACTTATTCCAGTATACGCGTGTGAAGTAATTCACATATGGCGAATAGTTCATTTTGATCTCCTGACAAAACCGCCCATATTTTGAGTAGCCAGAGCTGTCATTTTCTTCATAATAAACCTAGAGGAAACAATAAACAAACAAAATACATATTTAACTTCAGGGAGGAATCAAACACATTGTATATTGGAATTAATTAAATTTGTATTTATAATTCCAATGTGAAAGTAGCAATATTACTACGATATTAAGTTCCGATGAAAGCACTTTATACGAAATGGAGCAATTTTTAAAAGTAAGAATGTTATAGGCATGTAACCAGTTAATTTGGGGGGGGGGGTAGATTTTTATTCCACTGTTTTTTTCATACACAACTCAAGGTGAAGTTCACACCAATACTCCTTCTGTCTCTAATTTCCTCCATAACAACAACTCTGTGAGATGAAGTAGGCTGAGAATGACTGGTCCAAAGTCATCCAGCTGGTTTTGCCCAAGGAGGAACTAAAATTCAGTCTTCTGATTTCTAGGCCACCATCTTAACCAATACTAGCAGTGTTTGATTTATGATTACTTGCTTAGAGACCAGTTATGACAATGTTGAATGAAGGGACTTATGACTGGTCCCTGAAGGATTGTGTGTGTGTGTGTGTGTGTATACTGCATTCACACTGTGGCATTGGGCTAAATGAAAAGAACTTGGTTTCAATGCACTGCTCAGCTGTGATTACCTTCTATGACTGCTTTTCAGAATCTTACACAGGTTATACAGATGAATAGGTCACAAGATGTATCCTATGTAATATTTATCTGTAGCAATAACCATTGAGCAAGTAGCTCTTGCTTCTGAGAAAATGTGCTGAATTTGGCTCACTGGTTTGTAAAACACTTACTATGCAAATTAGTAATATATCCTATAAACCAGAAGTCTCCCAGCCTTTTGGGCACCAGGGACCGGTTCCGTGGAGAGAGGTTTTTCCATGAACCGGAGAGTGCATGGTTTTGTGTGCTACCTGCATCTCGTGGATGGGGCTTTGCTTGTTTGTGCAGCCTGCTTGCTGGCATGCTGAAGCCCAGTACTGGTCCATAGACCGGGGGTTGGGGACCCCTGCTGTAAACTACCAAATCTGATGGATGAATTATATCACACTACTACTTACATGACCATTGGCAATATCTAGTAAGTCTTTAACCCTGCATCCTCTCACTGGTCCAACTTCATTGCAAATTGAATCTTCTATGACCAGATACGTAGCTTTGTAGGATGTGAGTATTTTGTAAATATCCTCAGCTGATCTTTTGGAATAGATCTGAAAAATCTATGGATTTAAAAAACATTTAGTTTTTTAAATGTAATTTAAAAAGCAGCTGAAAATACATATGTTTGAAGCAGCAGCTGGTTATCATTTTTGAAGAGAAAATGAGGGGGCTGGAAGCAAAACCACTCATGCTCTCCCCAGCTTAATCCAAAAAGATGAGGAATTATTGGATTGTCTATAGGGAGTGCTTATGGATAGGCTACAGTATGTAGAAGCTCCCCAGAATATAAAGTAAAGCTAGATGGAGGGGGCAGAGAGATGGAAGAATGTGACACATAGGACCAAGCCTTTAAAAAAAATGATGTCTGTAATTTCAGAATGGATTTCAATGCCTTCCTGTGAATGATCTATCTGGACCCCTGGATAAAGGGCAGTTGCCACAAGTTTCAGAGATTGAGAAAGAGTATTATACATTATCTATTTACCTATGAAGTTTGAGTTCAGGTTATCTGAAAAAAGTTCCAGTTTTAGTTTTATATGTAAGGCAGCTGCTATCTTAGGATTAAATGGAGACTCACATTTTCATTTCTCTTTTGCAGGTCATCATCATTATACAGGGGTAGATTTGTCACCATCCAGCCAGTGCACAGTCTGATTGCACCCATTAATTGTGGACTTCCAGCAAAGACAGCAGCAATAGGAGCCTGTCCTCTGTAAAATATATATATATATATATATATATAAAACAAGGCCTTGTCTCTCACACATTCCATGAAGACACACGTGGAATTCAGAAATCCTGTTTGAGCCAGATCCTGTTTCTGAATGTAAAGGTCAGTTCTTAGTAAGAATCCAGATGGTGTTTTTTATAAATAGCTTACCAGTAATAAGTAAAAAGACTTGCCTCCTTGCCAGTTCACAGAAAAGTCGTTATAATGAAATTACAAAAGGATTGACCCAATTGACTTAGGAGACAAAAGATTTCTAACAGGAAATAGTTCAGTTGCTGAAATGCTGGTAACCTAATGCCCATGACTTCAATAAATCTTAAAATAATTTTGTAACTGCTGAACAGTTTGGGCCCATGTCAACTATAGACATTTTCTCCTTCCTTCTTATCTTGTGTAAACTGAACTGTTTCGTGCTGATTTGTGTTCCTGGCTTGTTTAAAAGGAATCAAGTCAGAGTTCTTGATTCAAATATAAATGCTAAAGAAACTGTGCTTTGTACAAATGTATCAAAATGGTTTCTAAAGCGTTCTGTGGCCCACAGGTCACATATGGTCTGTTACGGCCCATGTGCCACATCCAGCCCTTTGATTGTTTCTGTGTGGCCCGTGATAGCAATGATGGCAGCAGTGGCCATGGTGGTGGCAATAGTGGCAACAGCCCTATTAGTTTGGCCTCTGAACAGTCCCAGTTTCCCATGTGGCCCCATGGGAAAATTAATTGCCCGCCCCTGTTCTAAAGTCTTCTCAATCACCATGTAATAATCACATTTCAAAAATAAGAAAATGATGGTATATCATTTAAAGCTCATGATTAAACTAGATCAGATAACAGTTCTATAGCTACTCCAAAAAGTTGAATAGCATAGCTTACAAGAAGCCTGGATAAACTTGGGAAAGAGCACTTGAACCCACTATGTGATGAATGATTACTGTGAATTACCAAAATATACAGCAGTTAGAAAAAAAATAAAGATTACTTACTTAATCCAGGTCATGAGTCCTACTGTATCAGGATCATAAAATTCTTGGAGCTCTGAGAGTTCCGTCATTATCCTAGGAAAAAACTAAAAGGAAGCACCAAGGCTATGAACTGTGGGAAGACAAATTACAAAACTTTAAATAATGCAGGAAAATGGACTAAAACACACCTTTCTAGCTTTACCGTCAAACCTTATTTTGCATGCTCAAAATCCATTTGCTACCTATAGCAAAAATCACTTTCTTTGTCATAACCCACCTTAATAGAAATGCATCTTTTGGGCTCAAGTACATCTAATCAAATTTCATAGCTTATTAATATAAGTACTTCTAATTTTGTTAAGTTATTCAATATCATTCAGAGATCTTTTTAAAACATTGTTAGAATTGCATGTGAGATCAAGCTAAAACCTCCTTCAAGCCCAGTTCATGCAATTTTCTTGGCAGCAATATAAAACCTTTGGCCACTGCTTTCTTCCAGGATAGTTCTCATTCTAGCTAAAGTGTTTCTCAATCTTGGCAACTTTAAGATGAGTTGATTTCAACTTCCAGAATTCCCCAGTCAGTATGCTGGTTGAGGAATTCTGGGAGTTAAAGCCTACACATCTTAAAGTTGCTAAGGTTGGGAAATACTGCTCTAGCTTATTGTCCCAGAATTCATTGATATTCCTTATCCAAATGCCAACTTGCATAGCTTGTGAATCCAAAGTCAGCCAAGTCCAGTCACTGCTAAGACAAAAAGTACTATCTATACAATTTTAAGTACTGTTTTAAGTGCAGACATTTGGTTAAATGTCTTTATAGGAAAATTTCTGTGTGCAAGATGGCTATACATAATGTGAACTGTTTCAAAACCAAGTATTAGCTATATCATTAAATCTTCCAATACTCTGCATAGTTAATAGGAGAAGAGGAAAGGCAATATTTATATTTTATATAATATTCTATTCTTACCTCTTTCCACAAACTAAACCCTATAATAGCTGGAACAGCCATACTCAGAATGAGAGCCTAAAAGAGTAAATAGACACATAAAATAGTTATATTTAGGAGTTTATTTTTGGTTCCCACCCATGCAGATTCTTTCAAATCATTACTATACATGTCTTGGGGCTACAGTTCTACTCAGGAATACATCCCATTGATCTTTTTTCTTAATCGGCATATATAAGATTACATCCTAAAATTGATGAAAGATGGCATATAGAGTTCTTTTGGAATAGCAATCAGTAAGTATAAAAATAAATGGTTCAACTGCACAAGGAAATCCTCATATCAGGTTGCCAATACACCACCATTAAATGACAAAAGAATTGTGCCTCTAATGTATGCTCATCTAGAGAAAAGATATAAAAGACATATTATCCAGAAAATACAAAATTGGCAGAGCTAGCTCTATCAGACTTGAGTGGATGATACCTATACTCAAAAAAATGTCCAATGAACCTATAAAAGAAGCATGTTTTCAGTTACTTATGAATCAAGCACATGTGAGCCAGCACACACACTCATACACACAAGATACCTAAATGGCTTTATTTCTTCAGCTCCAGTAAGATAACCATAATAAAGTCCAGGCATTTACTCAACCAAATATTCAAATTGCCATATGTTACTACAGCCTCTGTTTTACAGCAAACCCAAGGGGAAGAAAAAACAAGGTATAATCTAGCCCCCACTTAGCATCTTAAGCAGGTTGCCAATGTAGTCTTTCCTTCTGGTTTTTAACCCCTGGGAAGGCTGTTTTGCTATGTAGTCCAGATCACAGAATAAGAACAGCCATAGAATGCCATTACTTCTGTAGCCTCCCTTGCCCATATCCAAGCCATGCATGTATCACAATCACACTGTAGCTCCCATTTTGCCTGACTCATGAGTCTTCTCCAATCCTACAGCTCTTCAACCAAATAAAAAAATTAAATATAATGATGCATCCTGAACTGCAACAATCATGTTCAAAAAAATATGCAAGTCTCTACAACCACCATTTTTTTCCAGTCTTTACCTATAAAATCTTATAGAGCATGCCCCATCCATAAACTATAACCTTCGAATCCTACCCATATCAATTTTTCTTAAAATGATGGCCTCCTAGAACAGGGCTTTTCAACCAATGGTACGGGTACCACCTGTGGTACATTGGCATCTGGTAGGTGGTATGTGACCATCCTAGAAAAGTGGTAGCGGGGGAGGGGAATGAGCTGAACCAGTGGCAGTACCGCACAAGCCTAAGCGAGAGATGGCTGGAGCTGCAGGGCTGTCAGGGTTCAGTGAAACCACCAGGATCAGCGCCAGGCTCCAGCTGGAGCTGGGCGCTGATCCTGGTGCTCCTGCTGAGCCCAGAAGAAGCGCCGATCAGCTGGAATGTTGCAGCATCTCCAGGGTCTTGTGTTTTACATTCAGATGCTTGGCAACTGATTCATATTTATGACGGTCATAGTGTCCCAGGGTCATGTGAAGTGATCAAAACCTGCTGCAACCATCCAGCAGACAGGGGGAATAAAAACCAAACACTCCCCACCCCACCCCCACTGCAAATCCTCAACAGAAATGCAATGAAAACCTTGGATAAGAGGAAGAGTGCCGCCAGGTGGGCAGGCAGGTGTCTGGCTCGGCTGTGGCTTGGGGGGGCACTTTTTTCAGTGCCATTGTAACTTCGAACAGTCACTAAGGGAACTGTTGAAAGTCAAGGACTACCTGTAACTTTTATCACTTTTTTCCTTTTTTTTTTTTTTATCATCAAGTTTTTGACACCTTGCTAGGCGACTGGTGGTACTCGGATGTTGCCATAGCCTAAAAGTGGTACAATTGGTGAAAAGGTTGGAAAGCCCTGTCCTAGAAGATTCAGAGCAGCCTTTGACCAAGCACCCCAGACTTCAGAAAACTGCAGTCTGAACATATCTAGAGGACACCAAGCTAGAAAGTTGGCTATATCTCCAGATCATGATTTTGATGAGAGATGACTTTTTATATGTTTACCAGTAAATACAGCCATTCCTTATAGTCCCTATAAACAAGATGAACTCACCAGCAGAACAGGATGCACAGTTTTCAGTCGGATCCACTTGAAAAGAGTCATCCAAAGCTCAGGAGAACAGACTCCAAATGCCGCAATCATACAAACATACGGAGTCCACACATATTTCATTCTAGAGAAACGATACAAATCCAGAAAAAAGATAAGGTGCGGTACTGATGTGGCAAAAGGGACAAGTTTGGCAGAATCCTCTGAACTCAATCTTGAGAAATGAGAATAGACTTAAATTTCATCTGCACTATATTGACACTACTGCAATTCTAAGCCTCATAGGAACCAATTTCATGTGCCCAAACAAGAAACAAAATGGAAATCTGTGGAGCATTTGTAATGAACTTTGCAAATAGATTTCTTAGGTAAAAGTCAGTTACTATATGAAAACTTTCCTTGCACCAACTGGTACTAGTGGTTTCTGAGAAGTCAAGAACAAATGGCATTACATTCTTCCTTTTCTTCTTCTGATGTCTAGTATCAGGATGATCAAGACTCTTATAGTGCCAAAAAACTATGTGTATCTAAGCAATTCTTTTTATTTATCAGTGCCCAAAGTTGCATCATTTCAGCTCAACAGGAATGTCAGCTATTTGTACTTATAAGATTTGCAAGCCTCTGGAAGATTCACCTTTTCTTTAAGGCTGGGTAATATCAGATATTATACTAAACAATAAAACAATACTACTACCCTATCAATATGAACATTGGTTATTCAGAAATGTGGTCTTGATTCTGTATTTTTCCCTAAATTAGGAACAGCAGGTAATGTTTCCTACCACATCTCTTCACTCATATATAAGGGCAACATATAAGTTCTGTTTTCTAAAGAGTCCCAAAGATTTTTTCAGGAAGCAACTGGATTTTCTTGTTTTTCTTTGAAGACATTTCGCTTCTCATCCAAGAAGCTTCTTCAGCTCTGACTGGATGGTGGGTATCCTTCCATTCCCCACCATCCAGTCAGAGCTGAAGAAGCTTCTTGGATGAGAAGTGAAATATCTTCAAAAAAAAAAAAGTCTAGTTGCCTCTTGAAAAAGCATCTTTGGAACAACCATGACCTGGATGACTGAAAATCTCCACAGAAATTTTTCTAAAGACCAAATAACAACTGTCCAACCTCTGTCAGTCCCAACCCATATGGCCTGTAGACATGCTATAAGATGCAACCAAAACATCTCAGAGCACTCAAGATAGTCTTATATCAGGTCATCCAGGAAGAATTTCAAAGTAGGAAAATATAAACACATTACTGGACTGAAATAACATTTATTTCTAATGAATTGCTTTTATATTTAATTATGTGAAAATAAAATTAAAGCAAATTTGGCTTTGATCTGGCTTTCCTACTACTTTTTGGAATGTGGTTCTTGGCATATACCGTATATGCCGCCGTATTAGGCGACCCGGCGTATAAGACGACCCCCGTCTTTATAGCCGGGCCGCATTCCTAGAATGTCATCTTATACCCCGGAAACTACCAGTATTTCAGGCGTATAAGACGACTCGGCGTATAAGACGACCCCCGTCTTTGGCGCCGATTTCAGCGCTCGCGGAAGTCGTCTTATACGCCGGCATTTACGGTAATTCAAAGATCAGGTGCAACCCTCCTTCTCCTCATCTAAGATAACAGTTGCCCACCTAAATCTGATACTGCAATAAGTATTAAGAGTCTGTAACGCACGTTAGGCTGCTTATTTCATTTGTAGTCAAAGTTCTCACAATGACAGTATGTGCTAGAGTTAACTGGTTGTTTGTAATCATTTATTTTAAAGGGAACCAAGATAATAACATTAAAAATCTTTTATCTTCCAGTTTGTGTTTTTCGTGATAGCAAATCAGATGCTTTTGGGAAGCTTACAAACATCTTCCTTTATTACTATTTCTAGGCAACTATGCAGAGATATTCCATAAGCAATATTTGAAGTAACATAAAGCCAATCACAGCCAGCAGTCATTTATAATCCTATCTCTACCTGATTTTTTTTATAACTGTCTTTTAAAATCATCTAATTTGCTAATTAATGCCACCCCTTGTGGGAGCAAATGCCTTAAGTTAATTTTCTACTAAATCTCACCTTTTTGCACATGCTAAACACACTTTGATGAGTACAGAAGTAACACTGACAAATTCATTTAAATAGAGATTCCCACTTCAAGTCTCCCCGCTTAACTTCTCTTCCATATAAAGGTGCTTGTAATTCAAGCCTATTATTAACCAGTCACAAGTATTTATTTAAAAATCATAACCCCTGTTATCCATATCCATAGAATTTTTTTAAAATCCATATGTATAATATAAACAGTAATATCTTCCACATTCCCAGTGAAAAGAAATCCATGCAGCCTTCTCACAGACTCACCCTTCCATCATCATAGAAAGCAGCCCCAAGGTAACTGTGTGCAATATATGGTAGGCTACTTCTGGTCTTTCACCAATCCTGCCCTCATGTGTGGTTGGATCGTTGACTTGTTTATTGCTGTGGCATCGGAAGAGAAAAAAGACGGAATCATCACACACCTCTCTCTCATGGAGTCTGCTTGACAATTAAATGACCCATCAGACGCAACAACTGCACTCTTCATTATATTTGTCTCTTAAATCTAAACTCTAATGTCTTAACAATAATGAAACAAGAAAATGATGCAGCAAAGGAATTACCAAAGACAGAATGAGTACTGTAACGTATTGATCAATAAACAGAATGTGAATGGATAGTGAATTCTGCCCAGTTCAAGAACTCATCACAAATTCTTGGATTTTTCTATCTACCTAGAAATGTTTTCTAACATTAAGATTTTTTTTAAATAGTCTTCAGATATTTGCAACAGGCTCCAATTATAGATCTGGAAGTATCTGAGGGGAAAAATGGAAGAAAGTCTACAAGAAACACAAAGACAGCTCATCTTTCTGCCTAATTTTGAAGATGAAGGATAAAAGCATTAAACATGTATGCAAATGTGCCATGCAAATATCATATCTTATACCATATGCAAAGGAAGCTAGAATTCAAATTTAACTCTATCACTTTATTCAGCTTGGGAGCCCCTTAAGCAATATGTAATGGGTGTATCAATTACAACAAGCAACTAGCATCTACAAAAGCTATGGAAGAAAAATGAAATTTGATTTAAAAAAAAAAATCAGCTTACCCCATTCTCCTAAAGGAAGCCTGACCCACAGAAGCAAGGCAAATAATTAGCACCAAAATGTAGAATGGCAGTAGCGAAGAATGAGTGAGCCTCAAGAAGAAATCTTGGGATGGTGTCTGAAGTGACTCTTGACAAAGCAGCCAATTAACTGTGAAGTTCCTGTTAATGTCAGTGAAAGTGAATACATTAAATAACCAGACATGATCCCAGCCAATCAGAATAATGTACTGACTTGATTCGCATTGAAAAGGCTATTCCCTCAATATGTTTTCATTTTCCACAAAAATAAACATTTAAAAGAACAAGCAACAGGCCATTTATAGGGCTTATTTCACCAGTTTTATTTATTTATTAAATTTTTATGCTGCCCATTTTCCCTATAAACTCTGTTTAGAAAAATCACAATCTAAAGCAGAGTTGCACAGTTTGACCTTTCAGTGGCAAACTAGGGATATTCTCCAAAGTAGAACAATGAGAATAAAGAAGAGTGTGTAGCTATAAATATGCTTTAAGTTAATGTACACCTTAATTAAAATGTAATGTTTTTTCACAGTTGCTGAATAATTTTCTTCATTGGATGCCTTAAAAATTAAGATTTGAAGGCATGTTTGGTCTTAGGGACCACTCTTAAGTTTTCCAGGGGCCAGATGTATGTTTGGCTTGAATCTATTCAACCTATATTTTATCTAGATTTTGTCCACTCTCACAGCTTGTGAGCATTTCCCTCCTTTACAGAAAGACAACTTCATGCTCTTTCCCAGTACACAAGCATGTTTCTTTTTTCTCAAATGTTCCATCTGCTTCCTCACTTGCTGTGTCTCTCTACCAATTATTTCTGCAGTGCTTTCCAGTTTAACTCCTCAGTCTGTCTTTTAGCTTCTCCCTTGAGATTACAGCCCTCACTTAACTACAAGCTACTCCTGAGATCTCTCACTAAATAAGACATGTTTTGTGGAAGCCCACTAGATGATTCTGAGTTCTTACTTCTATCAACCCTAGGCAGCATGTTTAATTATCAGGGCTGATTGAATTGGAATTAGAAACGTTTCACAAGAAAAAAGGATGAAGCAAGGCAAACTAAAGGAATATATAAAATTATTCTCAATTTGCTGCTTGGTAATTTATTGTGTTCTTTCTGGTAGTAGAACATTGGTTTACAGAGGACTAGAGATTCATCTTTATTCAGCAATTATTCTGGCTTCTAAGACTTTGCCTGCACAGTTCATAGCATTGCCTCAAGGACAGAAGCATATATTTAAAAAATGGCCCAGAGATGTCCCAACTGGTAACTAAGTATCTGCTTATGTTAACTGCTACTAGGTGTGGGCAGAGAAGATACTCAAAGATACTCAATACTCTAGCACATAATTATGAGGACTGTGTAGGGTTTCTCATTGGATCTCTCAAAGGCCTTGAAGTGTCAATGGAACACCTGTCTGCACCATTAAAAGTGGCCGTCTCTTTTCACACAGCAGCGGAAGCAGTCACAGGAAACAGCAGCTGTTGAGAATACTACAACTACACTGTTATGTACCACCAATCCCTTTTGGAAACCAAATAAAAAATGCTATCTAATAAGTCTGTGTTGTTTGAGCAGAGGTTGGATTCCCCTTTGTTAAAATTTAGAGCATAACTCAAAACATACCGTTTCACCCATACCTTTTAGAATTATGCTTGTTTATTTCTTTGATTTATAAACTATCACCATATACAGGTATTAAAATAAAAATAATTATTTTGCAATTAGGTAGATTGTTACTTCAAACTTACTTATTTGTATTCAATCCCAATTTTGCTTCAAGGACTTTAATTACATGCTCATTTTCTTTATGGGAAATAAATGTCTGAAAAAGAGAAGACACACTGCATATAGATAGCATTCTTTTCAGATAACAGAGTTATATGAGATTAGATAAGTATTATTTGATTACTGGCATTACATTTTCTAACATAAAACAAATTTATGTAACAAAGACTGAAGGGAAGCCTTTATCAGTCAGATACGGTTGCTCTGTCTTCATTCTGTGTTCTTCACCTACCCATGGAGTCCAACAAAATCTGGAGATCCCTTTAAAAAAGAGACCATATGAGGAGGGAGTCTTGTAAAGATGATTGCTAAAAATCTTACTGGAAAGGAGAGAGTATGGGTCTATCTGTAAAAACTGGGAATATAAAGAATTCACTTTGAAATTTCATTAGCTGTTAGCAGTTTTTCAATAAATATACAAGGTAGTCCTCGGCTTACAACCACAATTGAGCTCCACATTTCTGACACTAAATGAGGCAGTTGTTAAGTGAGTTTTGCCCGACTTTACAACCTTTCTTGCCACAGTTGTTAAGTGAATTACTGCAATTGTTAAGTTAGCAACATGGTTAAATGAATCTGACTTCTCGATTGACTTTGCTTGTCAGAAGGTTGCAAAAGGTGATCACATGATCCTGGGACATTGCAACTGTCATATGACTTAGTTGCCAAGTGTCCAAATTTCGATCATGTGACCATGGGGTTGCTGCAATGGTCATAAGTGTGAGAAACAGTCATAAGTCACTTTTATAATGGCATAATTTTGAACGGTCACTAAATGAATTGTTGTAAGTCAAGGACTACCTGTATATTATACTACAAAACTGGTTAATGATGCTTTGTGGCAGGTATTTATGTTTTTGCTTGAGTAGTCTTTGTTTTTACTATATTTGCTAATCAAAAAGTTGAGTGGAGTTTGGAAGCAGCCCACTACTTCCTTGTTTTAACTCCACTCACACATGCCCCCATGCCCAAATTTTCCCATCAACACCTTATGTATGTAAAAAAGCAGCTTAGACATATTAGGAACTTTAGTATCATTTTCCTACTCCACTCTAGTCGTTTCTAATCTAGTATCCTCGTATGTTGCATTTTCATTCCTATAACGAGCCGAGGTGGCGCAGCAGTTAGAGTGCAGTACTGCAGGCCACTTTAGCTGACTGTGTTCAGCAGGTCAGTGGTTCAAATCTCACCGGCTCAAGGTTGACTCAGCCTTCCATCCTTCCGGGGTAGGTAAAATGAGGACCCAGATTGTTGGAGGCAATGTAAAATATACATATACATTGCTTACTGGTGTACACCGCTTAGAGAGTGCTTGCACTTAAAGCGGTATATAAGTCTCATAAATAAATAAATAACTCTAGAATACTATTCAGAGAGGTTTGGCTGACTTAGTCCACTAACTATTTTACCAGTTAAAAAAACCACTGGGAAATAGTTTTATCCGAAGTTCCCTCCTCTCCTGGAACTTATATATGGTTTACCTGTACTATTGTGCACAATTAAATAAAAGTTTTTAAAGATAAAGATTACCTTCATTGTAAGATTCAAAGTCACTGTGACCGTGAATACCAAATAAAAATAGATGACTTTCGGCATCCTTGAAAGAAGAGTTCCCTTTTTCATATTCATCTACAAAAAAAGCAACAGACCTGTTTATTTCTTGATAGAAACCTTAATACAGAGAAGTACATAACTACAGTAATGTCTCCAACTTTACCTGAAGGTATTTTGCAGGCAAGGCTGTGGCAGCAAGGCTTAATAATGGAGATACTAATAAAGCTGGATTCTCAAATTGTAACACATATCCCAAGAAGAGGGAAAACAGGTAGATTTTATATATTTCATGCACCTATGGATAGGGAAATAAAACATCAACATGCCTTGATTTTTAAAAAATTCTGAGTTTCAGCTGCGCAATAATTTGCCCTCTGTCCTCTGTTTTTTTTTCCAAGTCCACCCCAATCCTTCAGATGGAGCTTACAGAAGGCAAAGAAAACAAAGCAGAATCTGAATTTAAACATATATAATGAATGTGTTTGAATGTCCAAATACCTTCTCTGTCTGTGTGAACCCTATGACATCAAGCAGAAAAAGAGAGACCGCTTGGATAAACAATAGATAATGACTGTATTCCCACATCATCATAAAAGTGTATGTTGAAGCACTGACCAGCAGGTAGCAAAATTTCTGAGAAAGAGCATAAGAAGGAAGAGAAAGAGAAGAAAAGGGAAACGATGTTTTAAAGTGCATTACAAATAAGCAATTAAACTTACGAACTTTGAATGTATATTTGGAAAGACAAGGTAGAATTGTTTGGGAGTTTTGTTAGAGTTCATTTCCAAATGTATCTAATCAGAAACTCCAATAAATGCAATCTGGCCACTGTATGCAGGAATTCACATTTTCCTCTGGTTGCTTCCTTCCATAGGCACTGCTGGGCTGCTTGCCTGCTTCCATATGAAGAGACATTAATTGGTGAACTCTGTTTCCCCTCCTCCCTTAATTTCAGCAGTGGATTGGTGAAATAGTGAGCTGTTCAGTTGCTTTTATGCAGCCACCTCTCCTCATTTATCCTCTTTTTGCCCCCTGCCCACTGCGGGTTTTAATTCTAAGTGATTAATTACAAGTTTGGCTAGATAAGATTGCTGGGCCAGTAATATGCAGACAGTAATATTCATGTTTTTGCTTCAATGTGAGAGGAGCAGTGGACCTTTTCTTTTGTTTTTCTTAACCAAGTAAAACTAACAAGTATTTTGCCAGTTTCCTCCTACAGTACAAGTGATAGGGGAAATGGTAAGACAATGGGATCTTCTTTTCTACTGCTCTGTCTACCAACAGGCACAACAAATGGAAAGGTGCCAGGTATGAAGGGAAAAGTGTCATACAAAAGATCAATCAATGGAAACGACATGACCTCAAATACATGCCCACAGAAAGGAAAGTGGTTGCACTTGTCTTCCTGGCACAGGTGGGAGGGACAAAAAAAGTAGGGGAATCTAGTAACCAAGGACTAGCGAAGCCCAGATAGAACACTAGGCTATCTCTGTAGCCAAAACAAAGGAGGGGCTTTAAATATGGAGCACGACTTCTTAAGCCAGTTCCATTTACAGGCAGCTTTCACACAAGAGTCACGTAGATTAAGACAGCGTTATAGAAGAGCCCAATGTTTAAACTTACTGTTGCAAAGCAAAATGTTGAAAATCTTTTTTGGAAAGAATCAGGAGGAAGAAAATTCCAGCAAGAGATCATAATTATCACAAACAAACTCAAGGTCAGATGTTTTAACAGCAGAGATTGGCAGAATATGGCCACACTTTCAAAAGGGAAACTTAATAAATAGTTTCCTGGTTCAGAAGGAAAAATATGCTTTAGCAAACACTGTTATCTTTCTAAAAACCAGATGTACAAGGAGCAAACACGAAACTGGTTCTATCCCCTCAAAGCAAATTGACCCAAAGTGATTTTGACCCACCAACAATTCTACTTTACATCCTTTTAAAATCAACTTTTTTACTGTTTTATTTCCACTTCAAACACTTTTCTCTTACCTCAGCAGAGGAGTTTATATTATTCTTTAAATAGCCTGTTAGAGCTGCAACTTGACAAGCAAAATATGGCAAAGCCCAGTTCTCCCTAGCAGGGATTGAATAATCTATTTTTGTTGTGTCCGCTCTAAAAAGCAAGCAGAAAAAAATCAATGTACTGACTTTCTTTTATAATATGAATATTCAATTATGCAGCATGCTTGTGAGAAACTGCATATTTGTATTAATATTTCAAAGTACAGACACATTTGGGGGATTGATCATATAATCTTCTTATTTAATCTACGTGCTTTATATAGCTAGAAACACGTTCCACTAAAAATAGATGCCATTTTTCATTTGCCAACCTTGAAAAAAACTTAATATCTGAATGAGAGACCAGTAGGAAATTCTATCTTTGTAGGGTAAATTTGGAAGTAAAAAATGTACTCTCAGAGAAAGCCACAACAACCACTTCTTATGATACTGAGAAAAAACAGGAATATGTCTATTTAATCATTAAGAATGGATTAAGAAGAGATTGGACAGCCATTTGTCTGAAATGGTATAGGGTTTCCTGCCTGAGCAGGGGGTTGGACTAGATGACCTCTAACATCCCTTCCAACTTTTATGATGATGATGATGATTCAACCTTGATTTGAAGGAGAAATCACTACAATGGCAGCACAATGTCAACTGCAATGAGTTTCAATGTATTCTTCATTTTACCAAACAGCCAAATGTTAGTAACAGATGATCAGTCATAACAATGTGAGAAGTACTTTTCTTCTAATAACTCCAATCAGAAAATATTACTTAATGGAAACTGCATATATATCTGCCAATAGAACATTTCATTAAGGTTTCACCAATCCCAGCAAGAATATAGCTGCTTGCTTTGTTAAGGCAAGAAAACAAGAGCCCAGTGATAAAAGAAATATCCTTGAAGAGGATGAAATAGTCATCCACAGTTCCAAAAGCTTTGCCAGCTCAAACTAGCCAATGGGAGGCTGGCTTTGCCTGATTTTTTTAGGATATTTGTTAATATATCCCCTTGAAGTCTACCAAGAAGAATTGGGTACACTATTCCAGAAAGTTATCTGAGAGATTTAGTTTGGCAAATCCCTGCTACCCATAGCTGCTCTCATCTTTAATTTGTCCTAAGAGTTGAAGGTGGCAAATCTGGCATTTTAAGACTGCACTGCAGTGAGAGGATAAATATTTGTTTTACCTGTTAATAATGAACCAGGCAACAGTCAGCATCCCTGCTAGCCAAGTCCCACTCATAAGCCAGCTGGTTACGAACAGTGCGGCCACATAGATGCCCTGTAGCCCAAATACTATGCCAATGTAAAAATAGACTGGCTCAATAACTTCCTGAAAAGTAAAAGATAAATGTTGTTTTATAAACACATGTTAACTGAATGGTAGTTAGACCATCTCAACTGAAATTTATCAAGGGAAACAGCTTCCTGTAGCCCCAAGGGACCATCATCTTATGTAAACAAAGAAAGGCCAAATCATGACTATAAATGTTTTCATCTGGGTACCGAAAACTCTCATAAAAATAATTCCAGTTCTGCCACTTTTTGAAAGTTCTTTTTTCCCCTTAGATGTATCTTCAATGATAATAGCAGATGAGGTTCAGAACACCCTTTCTTCAATCAATGAATATTATCGGCTGCAGGGAAGAAGACTATCACTGCCAATAGGGCCTTCCTTCTGTGTTTTCCGAAAAAAGATTGAAAGACTCCCTGGAAAAGTATCAGCAAAGATAAAAGCACTGCAAGGGAAGAAAGGAACTAATCAGGGTCCCTTCCTCAATTAGAGGAGTCCATACAGGTAGTCCTCGACTTACAACAGTTCATTTAGTAGCCGTTCAAAGTTACAACGGCATTGAAAAAACTAACTTATGACCTTTTTTCATACTTATGATCTTTGCAGCGTCCCCATAGTCACGTGATCAAAATTCAGACGCTTGGCAACTGACTCACATTTAACGACTGCTGCAGTGTCCCAGAGTCACATGATCACCTTTTGAGACCTTCTGACAAGCAAAGTCAGTGGGGAAGCCAGTTTCACTAACCACTGCAGTGATTCACTTAACAACTGTGGCAAGAAAAGTTGTAAAATGGGACAAAATTCACTTAACAAATATCTCACTTAGCAGCATAAATTTAGGGCTCAATGGTGGTCGTAAGTCATGGACTACCTGTCCTCTAGGCCTGCCTAATCTGAAGGACAGGGTCTATATGTGTCCTCCTAAAGCCTTTGCATGTGGTCTCCTAGGGCAAGGGTAGGCAACCTTGGCTCTTTTATGACTCATGGACTTCAACTCCCAGAATTCCTGAGCCAGCCATGCTGGCTCAAGAATTCTGGGAGTTGAAGTCCATGAGTCATAAAAAAGCCAAAGTTGCCTACCCCTGTCCTAGGGCTTCGAATGTGGTCTTCCAGACAGGATTATTTCCTGTGGAAAACAATCACATTAGTAGTATTTAATTAGCGTAATTACAGATAGCACTCACTTACCGACTGTTACTCCACTGCTCATGTGACCACACTGGAATTATGATGTCAATTCCATTGCAGTCATTGAGTGAATCACGTAACATCACTTAGCGTGATTGTGACTTGCAGCTTACTACTGGCTTTTCTGTTGACTTTGCTTGAAAGAAGCTGGCTGTGAAGGTCACAAATCATGAAGTCATGCTGTGACAGCCACAAATTTGTGGGCCAGTTGTAGGTCTACTTTTTCAGCACTATCACAACTTTGAATGGACGCTGAATGGGGCAGCCATAAGTGTGGACAATCTATATGATTTATGTTGTACATACATTATTTCAAATGCAGGTTTTGTCTTTGTCTCCTGTCCTTACCTAATTTTTAGAGTATTATATCTGAGTATTATACCAACCCCAAAACCAAATGTATCCCTTGCTCTTAGAGAGCTGTGAACACCTGTCTCATTAGATTCTGAAAGGATAGTGTAGATTCAACTCACCACCTATATCATATTTAATCCTCACCGTGAAATTGCAAATATTTAAGCTGCTTCATAATGATTCTCAAACTTTGATTTAATGATTACTGATGACCCCCTCGGTAGTTCACTGCAGCCACAGAGGCTGCTTCCCACATCAGGCCCCACCTCCTCCCTATATTCATGCTGGATAGCTGATTCGCAAAAAAGATCAGTAATTAAATACTGATTCAGTGTGAAGTGCATACATGATAATACAATATGGGTGTTAGCCTTCTGAAAAATGCCAACATGGAATAATCTAAAACACAGTTACCAACTGCCAATACATACCTTGCTAGTAAAATCTGTAGACTCACCCAAACAGGAATGAAAGTTAACAAAAGAGTGGTTTGACAAAAATTAGCTAATGAATTCATAATAAAATCATGATACAAATATAGAATTTGCCAGCCCAGAACATCTTTTTCCTATGGGCTGACCCAAAATTCTTGCTACCATAAGACTGGGATTGCCAGTTTTGATCTTGACTGTGATCCCAGCATTATTAGCCTCTTACACTTTTTTGCTTTCTTAACTAAGTTGGCACAGGAGGAATCATACAGGAGCAAGCTGCATTTTTTTCAAGCAAAGTAAGGTGACCTCTTAATAGCTCATATTGTTTTCACCTGGCCTCCAGACATTCAAATAATAGTCTGAAACAAAGCAAGCCTTTTTCTTTTAGGCAGAGGACCTTGTTGGTTCCATCACACAAGATGATAAAAAGGAAAAGGTACATACTTCACTGCCGGATGCCTGATATAAAACGCTGGCGATCAATTCCGGATACAAAATCATCTGTTGTACAGTATTCATTGTTTTTAGTGACAGGGTCCTGTTGTCATGAATAAGCTGATGAATGCCTGCAAATGAAGGAGGCAAGGAGATTTTTTTTTCTATTATTATACAAATAGTTGTATCCAATATAACAAATAACCCAGCTGTCCATATTACAGTATTTATTTATTTATATTTAAAATACATATCTGGCTCTCTCCAATTTGTCATCTCAACAAATGACTCAAGTTGGCTAGCACCAATGATAATATTAAATAAACAAACAAACCAACCAAGAAATAAGGCAACCAACAGCATAGTGCAGAAGCATTGTGGACACTCTTAAGAACCTCTCAGCATAGAACAGCCAATGGAAAATCAACAGGGTCATGGCCATCGGGACCCGGGAGAAAACAATGTTTGATTGGAGAGATGCTCCAACAGATCAAATAAGCTAACATGGTTTCATACAGGGAGCTCAAAGCATGCCCACTGTGTTAGATCTGTTGAGATGAGTAGAAACTATTGGAGATAAGCTGTCCCACAAGTTCGTCTTATGCTCCTACCATATTTGCCTGTGCTACCCTGTAAAGGCTACTTGATCATTATCATCATCATCCACTATAGAAAGCTCCTAGATGCCATCTCATAAAAATAGGAAGAATATAAAAGACAGATTAAAGTTTGATGACTGCACCCCATGATCATGGCAATTTGACAGAAAATTATATCCATAGGCCCACCATTCCAGAGACAAATTTAATTATGTCTGCCCTGAAATCTAGCTCTTTACTTAATGTTCAGTATTAGATCTGGCACTAGACTACAGACAGCAGTACAATATAAATATATACTCTACTGGGAGCCAATGTGATAGAGTGATTAGGATACTGGACAAGGACTGGGGAGACTACAGGTCAGATCAATATCAGCCATGGGAAACTTATTGGATGATTTTGAATCAGCCCAGCTACCTTGTAGAGTTGTTGTTTGGCTATAGTTGGAGGCGGGAATGCTATGTAGTTTGTGCTGACCTCCTGGAGAAAAGGGATATAGAAATCTCATAAGTAACACTTATGTTTTTAAATTTCAATGCTTTTAGTAAATCTGAAGTCTCCCTAATTGTCTATGAAGTTTTTTCTTTTTCTTTTCTTCCTTTATGAGCTCAACTGTATCACCTCATAGTGATTCATATGAGCTTCAGATCATCATCCAGATTTGAGTCACATCTCTCTTTAGTCTAAACCTAATCCATGGGCTAGGTTTTCATAAATAACTGGAATAATAAGATTACAAATGAGATCCTAAGGAAGAGATAAAATAGGTAGATAAAAGCTTTGTCAATCCTGACTGCACTGAAGTACATACGTAAATTTGGGGTCACATAATCTTTCAATCTGTCCCAAAGTTTCATATAGCCTGAACATTTGCAATAAAAAGATGGTGCATACTGAAGTCTTGATTTCTGTTATGTTACTATTTAACAAGTGTATTTGCCTTACCTTTTTTAAAAGAGGAGGCTTTTAACAGTTCTTTGTAAAATGAATAGTAAATGGCACTGTCACCCTGAAATGTGATTTCTCGTTCAAGTTCCTGGAGGAAAAAAGAAGTACAAGAATGAGTAAGCTAGGAATAACATGCTATCAAAATTCTACAATCTACCAATTCACAAATTTCCCCCAAATTTTCAAATGGACAATAAAAAAAAGAGACCGACTGGCTTATCATTTTTTTTGAAGAATCAACTAACTCAGCAGACAAAATAGTCCCCAAAAGCAAATTTCACCCACTCTCATAATGCTATTGAAAGAGGATGGTCTTTGAGCATCATATTTTATTTTTTAAAAAGTTGTTACCCATCCACCCACAAATTACCTATTCCTCTTTGATACTATAGATGGATTATATTTATAGCAAATCATGGGAAAATATGAATCCGCAATTTCCATTTATGAAAGCTAGATAGCTGAAGGCTACAACTACAGTTTCATAAGAACGTAACAGCTAACTTACAATAATGATGTGAATGTTCGTATGATATCTAAGATACATTGCCCGTTTTCATTTGGCCTATCAAGTAACTCAGACTCAAAGAAGCTCTAAAGAGCTTTAGAGAGATCTTTTCCAACTTTGCTTCAGATGCTTAAAAAATGAGATTTCAGTCGCCAAACGGGATCTTTTTATAGGCTGACCAAAGCTCTCTTGAGCTAAGGCCTCAGCTTCCTGTGATATTAGTGGGTCTGTATTGAGACAGCTCTGGTATTTCCTTAATGGTTCACAGGAAACTCAACAGGCTCCGCAATATACTTTACAAGCTGAAAATGGGAATCTGTTTTTTATACGTGTGATGCACTCATGCATGCTTCAATAACAGAATGCCAAGAACACAGGATAGAAGCTATAAATTCATTGTCAACTGAGGTGAAAGGGAATGTTAACCTTTTCAAAGAAAAACAATTAAGGATTTGATAAGAAAAACTAAGAAACCTACTTTATGCAGCTTATCATTCTATCTTGACTCTAGACTGGGGATAAGCAATCATGGCTGTCATATGCTTTGGATTAGATCCCTCATTGTCCACAAACCAATGGCTAGGTTAAGTATTCTGTGTCAGATATCCTAGATATTATAGGAACTGCCACATCTGTTTATACATAAGCCAACCTTGTGCTTGTATAAAATAACAGACTTTATTGTTTGAGATTCCTTACCGGCCTACCAGAAAACCAGAATTTGCGTTCATGGTATGTTGAAAGGTATATGGCATACATCATTCCACTTATGATTGCTGTAATGCAGCCAAAGAAAAGCTTTGTAAAATGTGGAATTAAGACATCTGAAAAGAAATATGATAAACACATCAAATAAAATCTATGTTTTCATATCAAGTCAAATGCCCAATGTTTGTCAAGAGCCTCTGCAATGCAATAAGCAGGTGGCAGCAGAGGGCTAATGTCCAACCAGTTCATAAGTACAAAACACCAGAATATACAACACCAAGCTCTATAGACACAGGAATGGAGGATGTGGTAGAAGTCCTGACCTGATGTAGAGAACAAAGAGGATAATTTGATGGAGAGATGGAAGATCCATTATCAAAGCATCAAAAAGGAAACCTTGTTTGCAAGAATATGTTACCATAGCCAATCTAAATAAAAGAGTTTTTAGTCTTCTGTGAAATCTATTTCTTGATTTCGTCTGACTCATATACTGGCAAGGACCTCAGACACAATCCAGGCAAGATGGAGTGCCTAATTATTCCAGGATAATAATAATTTTGAGTCTCTGTGCTTGCCTGGGAACAGTTGGGATACAAGTAGAGCAGATGAAAGTTATGGCCAGGAGACCTTTGGCCTAATATTGGTCAGAATGCCAGTTGTAACTTTGCTAGAAACAGGATGCACTGAGAACAGTCACTTGTGCTCTTGTCATCTAGTAATTGAATTATTATATTATATTATTATAATTTGTTCCATGTGGGATTCCCTTTGAAAACCATCTGGAAACTTCAACTGATCCAAAATGCAGCAGGCCATATTCTTACAGGATAGCTATGTATTGCCAGGTTATACCACTACTGCAGGACCTGCATGGCTCCTAATGTTTCCAAGTGCAATTCAAGGTATTGGTTGTTACCTATAAAGCCTTAGATGATTCAGGTCCTGGAATCTGCCTTTCCAAGATAAATTCTGTCCACCCAACCCAGAGAGCTGGATGATCAGGGAGTGTCTACTAAAGATCCCTCCCATCACGAGATGCAATATTAGGGATCTCAATTGCAGGCATTCTATGTATAAGGTCCCTCCCATGGAACACCTTGACCCTTGAGATGAGTATGGTTCCCACTCCTATAGTCATCTGAAAGATAGTAAAAACATCACTTTTTCAGAAGGTCCTCAGAAAAAGATTCTATAAAGACATCAGCACTAATACGGCTTTGTATTATAATGCTGCTATTGCATTTTGTATTTTATATACCATCTAGAATCCTTTGGGAATTACATAAATCTTATAAGTAAAGCAAAATATTTAGAGTTTGCTCCATGCACTCAGAGGTTATAATTTGATATTACAGACATCAAATAATATACAATTGGATAAATCAGGTTTTGTTAGCCTATTTTGGTATCTGTTGAGTTGTCTCAAATCAAACAGGATAGTTTGTTTGCCTGAATGGTAAAATAAACAAACCTAGGGCACATGGAAATCATTCCTTAAAAGCAGACATCTGTAGAAGTTTAATCTTCATTTATATCTTACTAAAATATCAAACATGCAGCTTGCTTTCATTTTACATAGCAGTAACTTGTTATACACCCACAGCTGTCTTTGTTTAAATGATCTATATTTAATCTAAATTGTTGGGCATTTGTGCATAGCATATCAATCAATTTAGACCTCTTGTGTTTTTTTTAAAAAAAGATTTTTTAATTCACATTTAAGCTGTGTCAGGTAAATAAAATAGATTCAGATGTTCTCAACAGCCTGTACCAAACAAACACTGGGGGCAAATTTACAGATTACATCCCAATGAGTATAATGAAATTCTAGCATCAGAAGAAAACAAGAGTAACAAAGGGACTTGATTTTGAGAAGACTAAGTATTGTTATCTGTTTCAGACCATAAACAGACATGTCAAACTCGTGACGTCACATGACGTCACACGACATATCAGCGCTGTTTTACCATTGCTGACAATGGGTTGGGCGCGGCTTCCATATGATGCATCCAGTCCGCAGGCCGGCAGTTTGACACCCCTGGACTACAGGTACTATATTCTATGGCCATTCAAATTTGTGATGGCTCTGAACAAGAGGCGCTTAAAACTTGGTCCTTGAAGTTCCAGCCACCAAAGTGCCCCTGTGTTCACATGATCATGATTCTTGCATTCAGCAACTGGCCTGGATTTCTGAACATTGTAGTATCTTATGGTCACATGATCATGATTTCCAACTTTCCCTGCCAGCTTCCCACAAGCAAAATCAATGGGGAAGCCAGCAGAAAGTTGAAAGTTGCAGTCACATGAGGTATGTGCTTAATGACACTTGCTTAATAATTTGCTTAACAATAGAAACTGGGGACTGCCAGAACTGCATCCCTAAGCAGCCCAGTCATGAGATGTCGCGCTTTACGACTACATCACTTAACAATGACAATGCCAGTCCAAATTACCATCATCAAGTGAGGACCATCTATATTTCAACAGTAGATTGCTATTTTTTAAAAAAAGGAGAAAAACATTTTTGAATTCCTATACATAGAGCAGTTCAGCTACTATGATATTAACACAAGAGAGCAGGAATTCCATTCCTGCAAGGCTGCTAGAGACAAGGCATGTGATCTTTCCTCTTTTATGGTGCTTCTTGGTGGATTTGTTTAGAAAATTTATTTCCCAAAAAGGTTAAAAATCATTCTGTGTTGACTGTAAAATATAGATTCATAACCTCATAGCTGCTTTTGGTTTTGAAGACTGATCACTTTCTACAGGCTTGTGTACAAAGTGGAATAAATATATGGTATATTTTAGCTCAAATATTTTTCCAGAATAAAGATTTCTTATCCATTCTACATAGAAATATATTTCTAAATTTAATTCCTCAAAAACAAATATATATATAGAATTGAAACACTGACAGAAAAATAATATAACTCACATTTTAGGGATCGTTTGGGTTGTTTGTCTTTGTCGTTGTTTTCTTTGAGAGTTTTTTCTTCAACTTCAGTACAGCTTGGATTCTTTCTTTGCCTCAGTTCAACAGCTTTTAGACAAAATATCCAGAAGTTAGTCTTAGAATGCAAAACCTATCTACCTTAGTTGTAGATAAGAGGCATGGATAGGATTGCATTGTTATATAGCTTCCAAACAATCCCAGTAGTATTTACCCATCTAGACATGGTTTTAGAGATATAAGAGCTTCAGTATTCAATGAAGTTTACACTCAAATAAGTGGCCTAAAATATCTAGCACACAAAAATCTTTGAATGGAATAAAGATTCCATTTTAAATGTAATTTATACAGCCTCTTGTGTCTACATCATCCTCATGACTACATTGATCTGCCACTGTTCATCCATGAGTACAGCGTAATCAAAGTTACATTCCTTCTCTAGTGTTTTTCCACAATCTTCAGTGAATGTGAGAAGATAACTGAGTAAAAGACCCCAAGTCACCCACAATAAGCTTTCATCTTTGAGGATGGAACTAAAGCTCTGCTCCCTAGTCCTATTCCTTGGTTCTGGAGTCAACATTACAACTGACATGCCTGAAAGTCTATTAGATTGTTTCAACTTGAACACTACGTTACACTGGCTATTCATTCCTAGTAGAAGCTTTGCAGGACAAAACCACTCTCTGAAATGATCTTGTAAACAATTTGTAAATTTACTGTGTTTCCCCAAAAGTAAGTCCTCCCTAGAAAGTAAGTCCAAGCTTGATTTTTGAGGGTGGGCCTAATATAATCCTCCCCCAAAAGTAAGCCCTAGTTTGGGGGCAAGGGTGGGGGTGGGGGGTGAAGCTTACCTTACCGGTATGACTGCCACAGCCAGGCCTCCCATGCCCCGACATTTGGCGCTTCAAGCCATTTCCACAGCTCAGCCAAGCGGCTCTTTGGGCCATTGCCATCGCTCGCAGCAGGATGCTGCATGGTGCTTCGGGCTGTTTCCGTCGCTTACAGCAAGAAGCCGAGCGGCTCTTCGGGCCATTGCCATCGCTCATGGCAGGACACCGCATGGCAGGACACCACAGGCCGAGTGGCAGAAATGATCCAAAGCACCATGTGTAGGGGCGTGGGAGGCCTGGCTGTGGCGATCCTACTGGTAAGGTAAGCTTCACCCCCCCCTTACCCCTTAGAGCGGCAATGGTGCTATGCGCCACATGGCGTCCAGCTGCAAGTGGTGGCAAGCGGCCACTGAAGAAGTCAAGCAGTGGCATGACATGTGTCAGTATGTGGGAGGCCTGGCTCTGGTGTTCCTAAGGTAAGACACTCCCAAAAAATAAGACCCAGTGCCTCTTTGGAGGCAAAAAAAAAATATAAGACCAGGTCTTATTTTTGGGAAAACATGGTAGTTGCATCAGCAAAGTAAAAGTATAGTTGAAAAAAAGTGTAGGGTCTTCCCCCCCCCCCATAGCTCAGTTAAATACTTTTCTGCTATGAGGAATCAGCAGAGGTCTTAACCACTGCCAATTCTAATAGATTTTGTTCTGGCAAGTAACTGAAGAATAGTGTCCTCATTTCCTGTGCAGAGAAGAATGTCCTGCTCCCTCCTCCCAGCTTCTAACATCACCATCTGGTAGGAAAACTATCTACCAATCACAGCATTGCTGTGACTGTCAGTGATTTTGACAGATGGCAAAATTTGGGATTTTAACCACTGCAGGAAATAATTTCCCTTCACTTGACACCTATGCTGAGTCTTCAGCTGTCTGGGCTCAGAATGTGGCAGATGGAGAGAAGAAACTCTCCCTGTCAGATCTCTGAGACAGCCCAAGGTCTGGACAAGTCCAAGTAAATGACAGACTGAACAGCCAATGACAGGCAAAGTTGAGGATGTACAAGTTAACTCTTGTGTGGGTATGTGTGTATTTGTGTACCTACCTTCTCACCACAAAACTTTCATAAGCTTACAAGCCATTGTTCATATTGTTTTGAACATAGGTTTATCACTCTTTTGGGAGATCATTCAACCTATGGTCAATAGCAGCCTGAAAAACAGCTGACAGACCTAGTGAGAAAATTGCACTAGCAGACACACTTTTTTTTCTACCTTACTTCACAGCTTCCTCTTCATAATATTTAGGCAGATGCTATGTGTGCCAATTGAGAGATTCGTTTGAAAAATGAACTTTCCTGCTCCCACAAAATAGATTAGACTTGAAGGACGGTGCCTGAGAACTGGACAAACAGGTTCATACCAGCACAAACTTGAAGTGGCTAATAAATGCTAGGCTAATCTCACACCATAGATGTCCTCTCCTATTGTTGCAAACAAAATAGTGGGAACAATGAATTGTACATATGGCAAAATTGCTACAGTTATTCACTCTTTAAGATAGAAAACATTAATAGCAGAACAGCTGAGGATAACTTTAATTTTGCTCAAATAAGGATTGAAAACAAGGTGAAAGCAACCTCAGGGAGAAACAACCAAACAAGATAATATCAGGACTTGTCTTAGTTGTAATTAGGTGCAAATAAAGAAAGGGCTGTATTGTTATGGAATCAAGTCACAATAAAGACAGGGGGACTATATAATTAACTTATAGCATTCATATCACAGAATGCTATGATAGCCACAAACATGGACCATTTTGAAAAAGAAATAGAGGAATTTGTGGAAGATAAGGCTATTAACAAAAAGAGAACAGAATGGTGTACAAGAATGGAATCTGCTTATTCTGATCTAACTTAACTCTTTGGCTAAGTGAGTTTAAGGCAATTATTATTTCTTAGCCCAATCTAACTCATGAGGATGTCAGGAAAAAAAATGGAGGACTGAGTGCTTGTCTTATTCATCTGTGTTCTTGACCTTCTAGATATAAATCCAACAATGAATGAATATTACAAGAATATAGTTAAGTAAGCTAATTGTGTAAGTAAGAGGTATGTGCTCATTCTTTCTCCACTATGCCATTTTATTATTGCCAGTTTTCCCTCAAATGATTTTTCTCCTTCTTCCTAATTCTATCAGAAATAAGTCCAATGGAAAAAAAACCTGCCAAAGGCAAATGATTCCTTTAATCACATTCAAGATAAAAGAATGCTACTTCATCCTCTAAGCTATTGGGCACATTTGGAAGATTATAAACATGACACAGATAGTTTCTAAAATGGCTGCCAGAATGCATATAGTCAGTCATATTATGAATGTCCTATTCTGTCAGGAAATGGGGAAAATTATTCACTACTACTCCTTCTTTCTTACGAAGATATTCTGAATCACAGTAGCTTTTTCAGGAGATAAGAGACAACAATTCTTTCCAAACAAAAAATTCAGACTCAGCCTCTCACTTGTATTTTCATTCATAAATACACATATGCCAACTCAAAGATTAGCCTAGATTTTAGAATCCAGATTTTTATTAATATATGAGCATAGGTCGTCTACTACATATGTGACACTATCTGGAACTACCTATAGCCACACAAAAAATGATTTATGAAAACACAAAACCATTTAAAGATCTATTCTAATTCTTCTAGTCTATGTTTGCTTCTGCTATTCATGTTGCTAGTGTCATTACTCATAGAGGTGAAAAGTCATTCTCTGAGCATACACAAACACAAAAGATATTAGGAACTCAAGGTTTATAGAAATATAAATATGGGCAGTAAAAGAGAGACACTCAAGGAGGACTAGGTGTACTTCATAGACAAAGAATGCTGTCAGGCAGAAACTTGAAAACAAAAATAGAAGGATCAAAGTAGCCTGAATCTCAAACAAGAAAGCACTGCATTCTCAGAGGAACATTTTGATGTCCCTCTTGTGAATTTTGTTCCTGATTGGGATGATCAAGTTACTCTTTCCTTCAATTCTCTACAGATGGCAGAAACAAGAAAATGGAAACATTGCAAGGTCCATGTTGCATATCAAACACCGAGCAGCTGGCAAAACTACTGCACACAATGGTTTTGTCAGCCTCTGAACTGTTATCATAATATACACACATACTGTTTCTGTTTAATTTGATGCTGTTTTAAAAAATATAAGGAAAATGTTGTTTTCATTCTTGATATTGTTTAACAAAGTGAAATGAAAGTCGAATAAGGTTAAATGCTAAAAATAGAACTGAGATTTTTCACTGTGTAACCTAATTAGGTTTGTTTATTTATATATTTTAGAAGTAGGAGAAACTAGAAGCAATTAGTCATTACCCATAATGGTTCAATGGATGTCCATGTCCACAAGCAAAATACCTCTATATAGCAGATATTGTGATAATTGCCTGTTATAATAATATATTAATACAGGTAGTCCTCAAGTTACGAATGTTCACTTAACGAATGTTCAAAGTTAAGACATTCTCCATCAAAAGTACTTACGACCAGGTCCCAAAGTTACATATCTTGCAACATCAGAGTGGTCATTTGCACTTATGAACAACCGCAGAGATGCTGCAACATGCTACTTTGGTACCACATCTGAGAGTCCCAAACTGCCTATGATCGCCTCCTGCACAACCTTGGATGCCGGAGCTTTTGTCTAGCCAGGCAGAGAAGCGCCAAACCGCAGCCTCTTTCACAAGTGGCCTTGCTCCGCCATTTGCTAGAATGCCAAACCTGCCCGGACTGACAAATTGTGCCACCACAGAACTAGAGAGCTTGACCTGCTACTGCCCTGCTCCCTTTGCTTGCCAAAAGCACTCACTCCTTTTCCAAATTACAAGAGGGGGAAGAAACTGGCTGCCCCCATCTAGTTTCTAGATTGGAAGGAATGAGGCTTTGCCAGCCCGGTTCTACCTCCCCTCTCTGTGTCCTTGTTGCAATATCGTCTAAACCAGCGGTTCTCAACCTATGGGTCGCGACCCCATTTGGGGTCGATCAACCATTTTTCGGGGGTCGCCAAAGGCGGCGATCCACCATTTTCTCCCCTCCGGGGCCGCCGCCGTGCATGCGCACCGCGCATGGGGGCGTCACCGCACATGCACACTGCACATGGGGCGGCGTCGCGCATGTGCGCCACGCCACGCATGCGCATAATGTTTGTGTGACGGGGGTCGCCGTCACACAAACGTTGAGAACCGCTGGTCTAAACTGAGATTTTGCAGAGGTGTGGGGTGTGGCAATGCCTTTGCAAGCATGACCCCTCCAGTCTGGAATCCCATTCACTGCCTTGACTTCTAACCTAGAACCAGAGGCGGCCGGGGGAGGGCAGGAGACTGACCTCAAACGTCTGGGCAAAGCTCTCTTTGCACTCTATTTAATCCTGGTTCCCCTCCAAGCAAGAATGGAATGGGAAATAACTTCCATTTCCTGACCGCTGCTCTTGGCTGTGCCACTTAAAAAACGCTACATTGCAAACGGAAGAAACGTGCAGGGAAACAAAAGAAATTCATGGGACTAAAAAAAAGGTTCAATCAGACCTTCCAACTTCGCCACAAAATGGCTCTATGCAGCTTCTGAACCCAGCCAGTATGGAGTAGCTTACATATAATCAGATACATGACACAATACTGTACTGCTATTAAATAACTGGGGATCAGAAATTGTTGATTTTCTATTGTAATTTATCCAGGTGTCTGCCAGTAGATGCAGAATTGTAAAAGCAATATTCTGAGAGATGAATTGGTATATCAAGCTGCTATCTATAAATAATGCATGATCCTTGAGCAGGAAATAAGTCACAAAACTAAGCAAACCTAATGAAACCACAATACATTGTACAAATTAGAGACAGTGATGGCGAACCTTTTAGAGACTGAGTACCCAAACTGAAACCCAAAACTCACTTATGTATCATCGGGTGCCGGGTGGGCGTGGCCAATTGGGTGGGTGTGGCCAATTGGCTGTATGTGGCTACGGTGGTAACGGCAGACTGGGTGGAACTAAAAAGTTCAATCAATCAATTCCAACTTTGCGAGATCTTTTTTTTTCTTTCAAGAAGCTTAAATTGATTGATTGACTGAACTTTTTTTTTTCCAAACGGCGGTTGAGGACTAAAGTGAAAATGTTTTATAAAACCCAGCTGAAGACCTAGGACTGGGGCGCTGGCGCACGTGCCCACACAGAGGGCTCTGCATGCCACCTGTGGCACCCATGCCATAGGTTTGCCATCACGGAACTAGAACATGTTATGAAATATTCAGCTACAGAAAGGAAAAAGTATTTTTTCTTTTAACAGCGTCATAGGTGTTATGAATGAGAAGCAGAAGCAGTTGTTCAGTGCAAATGATTTGTGTTGACAACTCATGGCAGTTGAATCCTAATTTTTTTCCTCCCCCTTCCCCCCCCCTTTTAGCTGTGGAATATATCACAAGAGTTTCAATGAAGTTACTCAAAACCAATTACTTGGGCTATTTCAAATGGGAATAACATAGTCCGTTTAAATTTCAAAGCTAATTAATCCCAATGTAACAGGCCTCACTTATGTCAAAGGCCAGGAAAAAACACACACAAATACAGAGGAAGGTTTATATACCTTCCAGTGTCCCAAACATCAAATATTGCTTCTTTGGATAAATTTGCCAAACTAAATTTCAATGAAAGAAACTTACTGTATCTGAGATTATGAGAAAAAACACTTCTGCAGCAGAAAATTATGATTGTTGCAAAGAAAACTATGATAATCTATGATAATCTATACTTAGACTGAATCTACATGTTCTTACAAAAAGAACTTTTTCCATGAAACAATTCTATTCGATTCAAAGAATGAATAAACAGCTTACTAAATAACATCTCTGCCATGTGGCTTGAAATATTAATTGAAAAAAATAAGATAGATGCATGTAGGGAATATCAGACCACTAAGACAGTAAAGGTTTCTCAGCCACAGCATTTGCTTCTCAGTATTTCTTCTGTAATTTGCAAAAACTAGTTAAGATATAGAGAAGAAAATTTTTGAGGACAAGTTTGAAAACATCCATGCTTTGAATTTACATATTCCCAGAGACCAATAGGTTCTTGGGTTTTTTGTGTTTTTTTTTTTTTTTTTGCTTTGCAGATAGAAAAAACCTTTTCATTGGTACAGTTAAAATTTTAACTGAACATAATAGAGTACAGCTGAGAAAAGTGTCCCACATAAATATTATATTCATATGCACATATATAAAACTAGCATTGTGTTGAATGGAAAAGTTTTTATTTATTTATTTTCATATTATATTAGCTTATACAACCTTAAGATAATTAATGTAGTTATAATCAATGAAACAGTATTTTTGAGAGGGAATTCACATATATATTCCCTTGACATAAGAGATCCACTGCATGCTTCGTCTTTTCCGATAGACAGAAGCACAAATTCCATTGTGGTTGAAAGAATGACAGGGGATCGTTTGCACGTACATTTGGTATGTGCACCTCTGCCACTTATTTTTCATTCTGCTCTGGTTTTCACAAAGCTTTACGGGCAAAGCAGCTCAGAAAACGAACAGATCAGATGGCTGCTGGTATCAAAATGATTTCCTGAGGCTTGAAAATTATTTGCAAAAAAGAGAAGCTGAAGTTATGGCTAACCTTATTGTTTTGTAACAGTATGCGAAATTATTTTTAGAAATGCCACCTTCCTCGGCCCTTCTCCTAGCTCTAATGCCAGTAAACCGATAGACTGCCTATTCCCGAATTGCTCTTTGCATCTGAGTGGCCTCCTTCTAGCATAAATCTTCAGCACTTTTCTCTTTCTTTCTCCTATTAGTGTAGCCCCCCCCCCCCCGCCCATCTCTACAGCTGGCCCGAGGCGGAATGAAAAGGGAGACACAACGCGCGCACGCAAACCTCACCTTCCTCCATCTCCAGTTATCACACCGAAAGAAACCCGAGTTCAACGCGCTTTCTTCCGCCGATCACTCCGGCATTAAAGCGATCGGGACTCTCGTCTCTCTTTCCCTGCGCCTGATCCTACTAAAACAACCCCAGCCTTGCCCCGACTACAGAAGGAGATACTTTTCACTTCCTGTTAGCTCCCCGATTTTCGATCTTTTCCTTTTCTGCAGGGCGATGCGGAACGGTCCTTCACGGGGATGGAAAGGCACATGCGGAATCAAATTCGCGTAGATACTGAAGCCAAGCCAGTACTCCGTATTCAACTTCCGCCCTGAGACGCTGCCTACTCCTTTCTGTAATTCCTGTGATGTCAGTTTATCCATTAACGAATCCAAAAGAAAGAGAATCCACTTTTTTAAATCGTATCTCGTAAAAATATTTATTTATTGATTGCAGTTTATACTCAGGCAGGGCTATCAAGTCTGGATTGCAAAGTCCGGATGGAAACTGAGAGAAAAACAAAACTCTCCTGACTGCCCTTTAGAGGTAAGCCAATCTTTAGAGCTGCTTAAAATTTGTGCCTCATACACTTAAAAAAAATAATAATCAGGTTTTCTGTTAAAATGGGCTAGATGTAAATCACATAATGTAAAGTTTATTGCTGAGGTCAGGAGTGCCCATAACAGCTCAAATCTTGTGCATAAACTTTCTCTTGAGGCAGTGGGGTGGTAATCTGGGTTGGGAGTTATTAATATTGGGCTCTGGCTATGAGCAGATCATGTTTTTTTGGCCATGGAGTTCTTTGGAGCCATTCCCTACTGCAAGAGGGGGATCCCATCCTACTCCCATGCCGAAAGACTGATGGATCCAATGAACTTTCAGAGGGAACTTGGGGTTCTTTTCAAAGCTCTGGACCATGGTTTGGTTGAGGCCTTGTTCTCTTCCTAGCTGGATTACTGCAAGACACGCTACATAGAGCTGCTCTTGAAGACCATCCAGAAATTACAATTGGTCCAGAATATGGTGGTCCAAGCAGTGTTAGATGTCACTAGTAAGGTGTCCCTTGTTTATATTATACCATAGTTGCCCAACATACATTGGCCTCTAGCTATTTTGTCTGTTATCTTTTATTGTTTCTTTTGGTTTTATTATATTTTGAATGGACCTCCCAGAGTTGTGACACATAAGATGGGTGGCCGTACAAGCCTTTTAAATAAATTTAAAAAATGCAATTTGAATAAAATATTGCAGTACATAACAATGTAAAATATACTGTAACATTTCTATAATATTGACTATTGTTCACACCCAAAATAGTTTACATTCCTAAAATAGTTTGCAAGCAACATTAATAGCCTGAGTAAAGAGATATTTGTAAAAGCATATATTACTCTTCTTTCTTATTCTCTTAAGTATTTTCGCAAGGCAATGTGATCAATCATTTCAAAGCTAATTTTGACACATACCTTGTTTAATATTTCAAGGTCCATCATGATCAATGGTTAAACTGCATAAGAGCAAAGAAATTAAATTTCAGAGCAGGACATTAGAGGTGAGGCTAATCAATTATGCAACATCACCACCAGATGGATCTATAGCTGGCTGACAAACCATACTCATCAAATAGTCCTCATTGGCACTACATCCACATAGAGAGAAGTAAGCTGTGGGGTACCACAAGGTTCCGTCTTAGGTCCAGTACTCTTCAATATCTTCATAAATGATTAGATGAGGGAATAGAAGGGGAACTTTTCAAATTTGCAGATGACACTAAGCTGGCAGGAATAGCCAACACCCCAGAAGACAAGCTCTGGATCTAGAAAGATCTTCACAGACTTTAACAATGGGCCCTACCCAACAAAATGAGTTTCAGTGTGGAAAAAAACAAAGTTTACATTTAGGCAGGAAAAATAAAAGGTACAAGTACAGATTGGGCAACACCTGGCTTAAAAAAAGTAACTGTGAGAGGGACCTTGGAGTCCTAGAGGAAGATCACTTGACTATAAACCAACAGTGTGCAGTAGCAACCAAAAAAGCTAATACAGTTCTGGGTTGTATAAACAGAGGTATAGAATCAAAATCACACAAAGTATTAGTACCGCTTTATAAAACCCTAGTAGACCACTCCTGGAATACTGCAGCCAATTTTGGTCACCATATCACAAAAAAGATGTTTAGAGTTTGGAAAAAATTCAGAGAAGAGCAACTAAAATGATCAAAGGCCTGGAGACTAAAACATATGAAGAATGGCTGCGGGACATAGGTTTGGCTAGGCTAAAGAAAAGAAGAAATAGGGGAGACATGATAGCAGTATTCCAGTATCTGAGGGGCTGCCACAAGGAAGAGGGGGGTCACATTGTTCACCAGAACACCAGATGGAAGGATAAGAAACAATGGTTGGAAACTGATCAAACAGAGAAGCAACCTGGAATTAAAGAGAAACTTCCTGACAGAGGACAATCAACCAGTGGAACAGCTTGCCTCCAGAAATTGTGGGCGCTCCATCACTGGAGATTTTTAAGAAGAGACTAGACAATCACCTGTCTGAGATGGTATATGTTCTCCTGTTTGAGCAGGGGGCTGGACTAGAACAGGGCTTTTCAACCTTTTCAGAGATTGTATCATGTTTAGGATATGGCAATATTTGAGTACCACCAGTCGCCCAGCAGGTGGGACATGGCCTGCTTGACCCCACTCACTGGACACAGCTGACTCGAGAGCTGGATCAGAACGGAAAAAAGTGCACGGGCTAACTCGATGTGGGGACAACTCAATGCCCCACAAACTCCTTGCCTCCCCAAAGTGCTAGCAGCTAAGTGCATGCACGTGCACACATGCACACACCCCGCATTCCAGGTTTGGGGACTTTTATCCACAGAGGAATGAGAGGGCCTTCTCCCCGTGTGCAGGAAGCAGTTTCTTCCAAGTCCAACTTCTGTCTTGACAATTCTCTGGAGAGCAAGAGGAGGCGGCAGGGGAGCAGCGCTCCTGGGTCCTGCACAAGGAAGGCTGGCCCTTCTCGAAAGGGCTTGTTGGGGCAACCTTCTCTCACACAGCTTCCCCTCCTCCTCTTCAGAGATCTGCAGGGGAGACAGAGATCTGGAGGGCAAGGTGCAGCCTCCATATTGGCCACTTCTACCTCTCCAAGCCCTCCTTGATTAAATATACATTATATATAAATTAAAACACAGCCAAAAAGAAAACGTAGTTAAATCACTAATTAAGCTCTTACATATTTTCTGGAAAAACCACCTTTATTGATGTTAGGAAGAAAAAGCAAACCTTATTAAGGAAGGGAATTGAAGACCCCCAAACATCTTGTTTTTTCTAATTTGCCTTCCCTTTGAGCCTTTAGTTCTCATTATTTTATTATTATGTATTTAAAAAGAAGATAAAAGGCCTCCATAGTTCAGAATACTCACCTTAAAATCAGAACCCAGAAAAATTTAGTTAATCCACAATACCGCCCTATGAAGAATGAAGACAGTCTTTGGGCCCTGAGAGCATGCAGGTGTCCAGTCAGAATATTAGTGGCACACCTGTCAGCAATTGGAAGTGCATACGTCCATGTATTTCCCTTCCCTGTCTCACAATCCATACTTGCTTTAATTTTCAGACACATCTTTTTCTCATAAGCTCCTTTAAAAACCCACAAAGTATATTGTAATTAGCAGGAAAAATAAATCTAGCACTCCTGAATTCTTTCTGCAAGCTGGAAAGCAAAGTTCACAGCCTGCAGGTTGCTAGCAAAGTCGTCAAAGAACATAGTTATTGCTGCTAAAGGCAAGAATAAATAACAAATCAATTTTGCAGCTCTCTCCTATTACTGCATCCTCTTACCTCCAGAATGTGGCCTGGGATTGCACAAGGGGCTAAGCTAAAATCCGGTTGAGTAGTTTGCAGCCAGGTGTTCAATACAGACCTTGCCAGTGTGATTTTAGTAGCACCGAAAGGGATAGGAAAACCCGAGGAAAACTTTGCAATCAATAAACCATGGTGGACTCCGCTTGTTTTGCCCTATTTTGATTCTCCTCCCTAGCAGCAGCCCATCAATTTCAGAACTGCATGGTCACAAAGACAGAGGCCTTCAGCCTGCTTAGAGAGGAATTTGCATTTTAGTGAGGGTCAGGTCCTACACCTCCAATCAAAAGAAAACTCCGAATCCAGCGGCCCATAAGGCAGCCCAGCCACTGCGCCCCTCCAGTTTCTTCTCCTCGCCCCATGGGCACAGATGCAGTTGGGGTGGGACTTGCAAGTACTTCCATCCTGGAAAGCGGCGCTCCCCCAGCGCTCCCACCCATCGCCATGCTGGCAGCCCTGACTAAAGGCCGCGCGCTCCAGCCTTGCCCTGTCAAGGAAGGGGGCAGCAGCTGAGGCTACATCAGATTTGCAGCTTGTCAGTGGCTCTCAAAGCCTGCCCAACTATACTCTGGAATTTCGGGGTTGGAAAGCGTAGCGGCAGTGCCACATTTGCAGACCTGGTGGCACCTGCTGGAAAGCCTCCTGCTTCCCCCCCCCACACTCCTGCAGCTGCCTCCTTCAGAGCCTTCCTGATCCCAACAGGCCTGCCGGCATAGATGCGCCAGCTTCATCCTGCAAAGCGCGGCTCACCAATGCTCTTGCCTTCTGCCATGCCGGCAGGCCATCGGCATCAGGAAGGCTCTGAAGGAGGTAGCTGCAGGGGGGGGGGAAGCAGGAGGCTTTCCAGCAAGTGCCGCCACACCTGAAAACACGGCGCTGCCCCTCCGCTTTCCAATCCCAAAATTCCAGAGTAAAGTTGGGCAGCCTTTGACACTGCTGACAAGCTGCAGTTCTGATGTAGCTTCAGATGCCTCCCCCTTCCTTGGCTGGGCGAGGCTGGAGCGCACGGCCTTTAGTCGGGGCTGCCAGCATGGTGGCGTGTGGGACCACCGGGAGAGCGCCGCTTTGCAGGACAAAGTGGACAGAGGTACTTGCAAGTCCCGCCCTAGCTATGGTGAGGAGCAGTGACTGCGTCTGGGCCCAGGGGGCGAGGAGGAGGAAACGGAGGGTACTGTGGCTGGACTGTCTTCTAACCTGCTGGATTCTGGGTTTTCCTTTGATTGCGGGCTGGGCTGGGCTGGCCCCTCACTGTCTCAGGACAAATGTAAACACCCCATGGGCATGTCTATCCCCTCCTCCTCCTTTTGTCTTTGGTGTACCTGTAACTGACTCCTTTCCCCAGGCTGCTCACAGCTTCTGGAAGTGTCAGTCAGCTGGAGCCCTGCATGGATCCTGGGCGCTCAGCAGAGCCCCGGCAACATTGCGGCTTCAGCTGGCTCTCCCACAGGCCTGTGCTGCGTTGCCACCGCTTCAGCTCATCCCCATACTGCACTTGTGCACTTTTTTACACTTTTTTTTACAGGTGCTTTTCAACCTATCGTAAGCAAACCACCTGCCAGGTGCCGATGTACCACCAGTGGTACTCTGACCACTGGTTGAAAAGCCCTGGACTAGAAGACCTCCAAGGACCCTTCCAGCTCTATTCTATATTCTATTCTATTCTATTCTATTCTATTCTATTCTAT